GTGTGTGTGTGTGTGTGTGTGTGTGCGTGCGTTTTTGTGACAAATGAGGACATAAATTTGTATAATGACAAAGGTATGTCATAGGTATTACAAGGAGAAGGTGACTTTTCAGGACATTATCCCATGTCCCCACTTTTCAAAACGCATGTAAATCACACAGAATGGAGTGTATTGAAAATCTTAGCTAGCACAAAGTTTCCTGTGAGGGGTAGGTTTAGGAGTAGGGTTGGTGTAGGGCAATAGAATATACGGTCTGTACAGTAGAAAAACCATTACGCCTATGGGATGTCCCCACTTTTCACAAAAACAAACCTGTGTGTGTGTGTGTGTGATAGCCAGGTGAATCTCATAAAATGGGTCATATTTCATCCCAAAACCAAAAGAAACAAATAAACTAGATTTTGCATAAAGAAAAAGTGTATTTTAGGGCCTTTTTTTTTCTCAATGTGGCATTATTAGCATAACAATTAAGCATTTTAAACCCCAAGCTTACCATTATGTTACTTATTGTTATAATAAATATATAAAAAATACATTTTAAATATTTACAAAATATTTTATGTATTAAAATGAATTATATATTATTTAATTTTGTTATATATAAAACATGAATGTAAAAAAAAATGCAGGGTTTTTACTGAATTAAAAGCTGGTTTTTTTTTGCTCTTGTCTTTGTTTGTAAAGAAAGTGTTTTATGACAGGGCCTAATTTAGACCCCATGCAGGTCAATTGTATTCATAGACATACCTGCCTTGATTCAGTGATTTAGATAATTAACTCCCAGCTTATAATATATTAATGTTTAAAAAAAAGTAAAAAAAAAATAATAAAAAAACATTAATTAAAAAATAATTACTGTTTAAGTTGTAAAGTGTTTATATATCATAGTATTATGTGATCTATTCTGTCTAAATGTCAGTTATATATATATATATATATATGTATATATGTGTATATGTGTATATGTGTGTGTGGCCGTACCGTTTTCATTTTTGGAATAAATATTATATTAATAATGTTGTTTATTATATATAATAATTAATATTTTATAATATAACTGAATATTATATAATAATTTTTGTTTGTTTATTTGTATAAATAATTCTATAATATAAATAATATAATTTAGTTATTATCTAAATAGTTTAGTTATGTTGAGATATTTGTCTTTGGATTGTGGGCTGAAATACCAGTTTTTATGAGATTCACCCGTCCTGTTGATAGTTGCCATCTCAGAGTAGATTTTTATCCTGGAGGTGAGGGTCACGCAAAACGCCTGGTGTTTTTCATCTTCCTTTCATTCTCTACAGGAAAGGCTTTTTTCTCGTCTTTTTTCTGGCTTGTAGAGTGCGTTTCCTCACGAGTTCCTGCCTGTCTCCTGGGGGAAATGCCCTCGCTGCTTATCGCAGTCATTCAGCACACTGGGTGAACGCAGCGCAGAGCGGCAGGCCAGAAAAAGGCCACCTGGTTCAGGTCAGGCGCTGCCAAATCTCACAGACTCGGAGATCACCAGATAACCTGGCAGCTGCTAGTTCCTGTATTGCATTTGTTGTAGATCTGACTGGCGTAAAGATACTGTAAATCCCTCAAAGCATCAAGGTCTCAACATGGTGCAGAGTGTCACCGTATATGTTGAAGGACTTACTCTTTATGATTAGCAGCTATGAGTCGGAATGATTTCAACATGTGTGTACGTGCGCTAATATGCATACGTCTGTATCTGTATGTTAGGAATGGGTCAGTATGGTAAAAAAAAAAAAAAGTTGATTAGTAAGGCATATTTTTAGCATTTATCTTTTTAGCATTTATCTCTAAATTCAACCCCTTTGCTAAAAAGCATTTTAAAATCATTGAATTTATAGATGCAAAATAAAGAAGCGTTAGTGTGCTATGCTTTCAGCTCTAAATAGAGTTACAGCTCTATAGAGTTTCAGCTCTAAATAGAGTAACATCTCTACATTTATGCCCTTTAAAGCAACACTGCGGCTATCAAAACACTACTTTTGTAACAATTCCAACAAATGCAATGTTAGCATAGTTACCAAGTTAGCATACCTCAGCTTCCCTCAACAAAAAGCCAATAAGATTTTCCATTGGCTTTTGGATTATTGTAGAAAATAAGCTTTGTGGCCTAAAAAAAAGTTGATAATCTTCACAAATGAACACAACGCCATTACCATTAAGCTTCTGGCATCTCTTTCAGTCTTTATTGAAAAAACATTTTCCCTGAAAGTTTGAGCAAAACTGTCTTTTTCAAGACACATAAAGCTTAAAAAATCCCAAGTTGCTGATGTATTTTATGGCTTAGAATAAAACATGAAAATATCTTGAGCTTGTGTTAACCGAAGACGTTTTTTCAGCCCATTGACTTGACTGGAAGCGCTAAAATGCAAACTCGTTTCCGGCCTACAAAAATACGCCATCCCTGCAGGACTCCATTGGGGATCTAGCACCTTTTTCTTGTTAGCTGTCAGCAGCGTTTGTCTCTATTCTTGCAATTTGCATTTGACTATTTGATTAAAAAAAAATAGGATTCTCACTTAAATACATTGTTTTCTCTCATCCTAACAGGCCGGTGCAGGTGGGAACAACGGGGCCCAGCTGCGCGCTCCCAACGAACACGCCATCATCATGTGGATGAACGACTTTATCGGACGTGTAGTACAGTTTTTCCTGCGAAGAAGATGATTGACACATTGAATGCCCAGCAGACGTGTAGCAGACTTGTAGCATCGTACATCACACCCTCGCCTGACTGTATATATGTACATAATAAGGGATAACAGCAGTGCTGCTCTTCCGCAACCTCTCCGGGTTTCGGCGTACAGTTTTGGACCTGTCGGGATGTGTGCAGACCTGGACGGATACATAAATCGGGAACCCTCAGCCATCCATAGACTGACTCACAGCAGTTTCCTGCGTTCACATGGAAAGCTGAGCCATTAGATGCTGTGTTGACGTGGAGGTTTTTGTTGAACCCCATGTGGAGTGTGGAAAAGGTGCCTTTATTGCCTGTTTGCCCTTGACACATCTATCTTTTTTGTCTTTACCCTGTCTTTTTCTTCATTGCTTTTATATTTATTTAATTTGTACATTTTGTGTATAATTTCATGAACGTGGACGTTAGTCGGTCAAGCGATGACATTAGTGGTTCTGCCTGTCGCTCATGTGTTCATTGGCTCCAATTTTGCACTTGCATTTGGTTTGCTTAGTATGTACAAATCAAATGAAATAGAAAATGATAATCCCGTAACAGAAAATGAAGTTGGAATTGACAAATTTGTAATTGAAGACATGACCGAAAGCATCAACTATATGTAGAAATTTGACCTATTTTGTCAAAAACCGTTTGCAAGATCAATTACCTTTAGCCAGACTTTCTTGGATTTGACGTCGGAAATATATCCTCACTTTGAAGCCATATAATTAAAGGCCTTTTCACATGACTCATGTCAATCCCGACACATCAGGAAACTTTGAAGCGCCAAGCTACTGCATTGTAACCTTTGGTACAAATGGGAGGGACACATTAAAAAACCTGATTGACTCATGAATATTAATTAAGTGATATGATGTTCACTCAGTAGTCTATACTGATTTGTCAATACATTGATAAGTAGGCGCTAGTATTAGTTATAGTATGGCTGCCACTTCCCATTTTAGCACACTGCTGGTGCAACCATTTGGAAGAAACTTCTGCTACAGATTTGCACTGTAGCCAAGCAAAAATAACAAAAATAATTATTATTTCCCAAAATATCCCATCCTTAAAGTGGCTCTGTGAAATTTTGTGGACAAAATCCAGTCATTTCAATAGGAATCCACAAAATTGGGAGTTTCGCATGAAATCACGCAGATTTCACTCGTGTTCAAGTTGGTCATGCGAAATTCGCTGTTTTGACCGACAGAAAGCTGCTTGGTTTGAAAGTGACTTCTGTGTGAGCAACAATGGACAATAGACCTTTTTTTATGAAATTTAGTCGAGTTATAACCGTTGATACGGCCTTGCCTGTAACGTTATTTCAAATTATATTAACTTGAACCCTTTTCGCCGCTGAACTTTCAAAGCATGTTATATTCAACACAACATCTTGAGCAGTTAAGTTTTGTGAACCTACATTTGACAAGCCATTTTTTTCAATATTTTTTTCACTATTTTCCATTTTTCCTACCAAGCAAGCCAAGAAAATTGCTTTGCCGCTATGCCATCTGCAACTCTTTTCATGCAAAGGTCAAAGTGCCGCTTTATGCTTGTGTTTAAAAATGAGAGTCATGTGAAAAGGTCTTACGAATACCTTCAGGTACTCATAAGTCACATAACTCAAGCATTGCTTTACGTTATTGAATACCTAAATAAATCAAATTGGACAGGCAAAGGTAGTGTGTATGTGTAACTAATATGGACGTATTTGTTGTTTTGACACCATAAACATTCCACATTTGGTATTTCGGTTTTGTTAGATTCCTTGTTTGGTCTGTTTGATTTTTTATTAGAGAGCAAAAGTGACATTTTGGGCTTGTAATTGTTGATTCCATTAATGTTCAAACAGCATGTGATTATGTGTAGTTTTGTGAATCTAGTTTAGGTCAAGGGGTTTTATTTGGAAAAGCTTTCTCCCAAAGTGGAAGAAACTGCGTTTAAGTGCCTTGCTCAAAGGCACAGTGGTGATAGATCAGGATTTTATTCACAGAAACGTTGTTTCTGGGTACACCAAATTTGGGATTGAAATTGGCAACCGTTCTAGTTAATTGCCCATGTCCACATTACAACCACTGTTTAACTCCAGCCTTACCCCGAGTCTAACAAACTGGCCTGACTATATGACCTTTAACAGCCTCAGGGACTAAGGGAAATACACCTGTGTAGATTTCTTGAACAAACCAGTCTTCCATCTTTACTTTGGCTTGTAGATTCTCCTCCTGACTTTGCCTTTTATTACCGTTGTCCCAGTATTCCAGTAATCAGTGCACAAGGCTCAGGACAAGTCGTCTAGTATGTTGGTATAACAATGATGTGTTTTTTGTAGTTGCAAAGATTAAAATATGAACTGATGTATTGACTACCTACCATGAATGGTATTGCTGAAAGTTTAAGTCGTCGGTTAGACAATTCCACGTGTGGAAGACGCATGGCCCTGTGTTATCATATGCATTTGTTTGTATATCGGTTTGTTGCTCTTTGCCAAAATGACAATGTTGAGCTTGTCTACCGTTCCAGGTTTACCACTTGAACCAAAGACCTCCTTTTTCAATGCGTAGCGCATTGTGTCATATTGCATGCTTTCATTCTCTGCCTTTGCCGAAGGATTCGAGCAGCATTCCTGTTCTTTAGCTTTTTTTTTTGCCCCCCCCCCATGAATTGCCAGCCAACCTGTGTATTTCTCACTGGACCTCTGACTGAGTCTTTTCAGTCCTGCTGCACTGAACACCCGCATTACCCGATCTGACGCCACCCAGGACCCAGTACATTTGTAGCACAATGATAATTTGTTTTCGTTTGTTTGTTTGTTTGTTAAATGCATCTTTTTGTATTTTGCACTGAACCATTTATGTGCTAATTTGTGCAATACTGCTGTAAATAAAAGCCGCTTTTTTCAACTTTCTAAAAACAGACTCGTCTATTTTAATAAGCATTAATCCACACATTTTAATAAAATTGATGGACTTAAGTAATTTATTAATGCCCTGCAGGTAATATAATTGGATCAACATTGTCTGTAATTCACTGGGAAGGAAAGTAAAATCATTTTAGTATCACTAAAGTTCAAATTAATCCAAAATAAACATATTTGGGACTGAAAAAATTAAGAACTGTACACTGTGCAAAAGATTGTCAAAATATGCACTGGACAGAGCAAAATAAGTAGATAAATATATAAATGGGCTTTAAATGAAATGGAAGATTAAGTATGATAAATGAAATCATATAAACATGATAAACAGATCTAAAATGTAAAAAAAAATGTATACAACTTTAAAAACAACAACAACAAAAATGGTCATATATTCTGCAATAAGATAACAAAATACAGTAATATATGTGCATGTTTTATTGTTCTATTTGATCAATAAGTTATGTGAACATGTTTTTCCACCAATTTAACCCATCAAATTAACCTTCAACTACTTTAAGTCAGTTTAATATGATTTTGCTTGAAATAACAGCCAATTTGATTATATTTAAAAATGTACTTCCATGTTGAAGTACATGGAAATTTGTAATTGCACACTGTAAACATGTTTAGCCAATAATCGATTAAACCTAACTCCATTCATTGGGTACATCATTAAAAGTCATTTACAGGTCAGATTAGGTACAATTTGTTCTTCCTGCAAAGCTGTTGTTCAATATTGCGACACTCTACAAAGACTTTATTTGTTTGTGAGATCTGGAAAGTCTCTCTTCCTCCAAATGAGCGGCCTATCAGTGCTCTTCAATCGGACATGGAAAGTACGGTACCTTCCAGAACTTGGCATAAACTCTGACATAATTCCATAGTTTGTATTCGTCCAATCACCTCTCAGGGTGTGGTCACATGTCTGCACGTGCACCAAAGAGGAAGGATTTGAGAATTTTACAGTTATGTCTAATTTAGCATGACTCAGTTAGCCATGCCGTGACATGACCTGTTGATGTGGTGAAGTTTGGGGGAATAAAACGGCTCATTAATGTCACAATATGATAGGTGTTTGTCCAACATTTGTAAAGTGAAAGACAGCCTTTAATTGTGTTTGTTACTTCCAACCAATCAAAATGTGCACAAGCAAGTTTAAAACAAATTGCATCAGACAGACTGATAAAAAGCTGCACTTTATTGATCTATGAGGGAAAATTCCCACGCAAATGATTCTCAATACAGCTAACCATCAGAGGAACAGTGAACTTCAATGCTTTCTGCCAAAATAATATCTGAATTGACTTTATTTAAAGGCACATTTCAATATCAACATATATTGCTTTTTTTTCCTACAATTTCTAAATCGACAGCCCTAAAATTAATAAATAATCTGAAATTAAATCAGCAGACCTTAGGTGCTCTTTAATACTCATACATTTTTGATCTATCAGACTAAATCAATTAATACAATAAAATTAGTTTTTTGAAAAAAAAAATAAAAAATCAGCATGGCAATATAAAACATATGATGATAATATAGATATGAAAAATTATTTATTATATTACATTACTCCTTGTTATATACTGTTGGGTTGCTTTGCAAGTAAAATAAAATAAATTGTATTTAAATGTTCCATTGTTATACTACTGCATACCGTGTAAAATATTGCACATCATGGTCAGTCATTTATTTCTTTATTATGCAGGATCCACAACATAAAATCTGAAAGACTTTGGCCAATATAGTCTTAAAAGTTTCAATGAACACGATTTTCCTTTTCCCCACAGGGGGAAAAGAACTAGATGAGTGTCTTTCTTATCTTTTGTTAATGTTCTTGGCATGAGGAAGTACTTAGTGCACGAGGGTCAGAGTATAAATTCTTAAACTCACATTATGTCACACTTCAGTTCATCTGAATGTCAGAGAATGTATTGCCATTGTTAGCGAAAGTCTGTGCTGTCAAGTGTGATGTAACTCAAAGCAAACAGATGCAAATTCTGTTTGCTTTGACATGTATCCCGTTTTAAACTCAATTCATCATCGTTGCACGGTTCTCAAACGGCACGCCGGGTTCCAGCACAGCCGCAGTCCATTGTTGGTTTCCCTTTAGAAACCACATCTTTCAGGAAATTCCCGGTCTTCATTGGAAAGACACACACTCACAGGTGCGTTTGGCTGTCACAGCTCACCCTTGTGCAGAACATGGGCCGTATGCTCAGGATATTGTGGTTTAGACCCCAGACAAATGTTTTCCTCTATTGACTTCATTCACACAGAGAATTTCCATCATGCAAACACCTCAACATGTTTATCAGCTCACCTGGGAGAAACCTTCATCTCCAGTTCATTGCCGATTTTTTCCTTTCCTACACTCCATTCTGATGGAGACCACAGCACCAAACAACCACAATATTTAGCATTTCATATACATAAATAGAGTATTAATTTGGCAGATGCTTTTATCTAACAGCATCAAAAAACAGCAAGCAGCAGCATTTAAACACAATATTATAACATTAACACAATTCATTTTTTATTTGGAGCTGAATAATGACACTATTGTGTTGCTACAGCTGCTTTACAGCAGAATTTGTTTGCCTCATAAATGATGATATTTGCATTGCATTGCTGTGACTTTCCTGTTTAATACTGTGAATCTGCTTTGAAATGGTCTATATTATATAAGGCGCTATAAAAATAAAGATACAACTTAATTAATATTATGCTATAATGTCAACAGTAACGGTGTGTTCAAGTCGTGTCAGAAAGTTTGTATTTTTTAGTTAAACGCACATGAATGTCATCACAAACTCGTTATTACAAGTTGGGAAACTTGGGACTTTCTTTAAGCCCAGAGTTTGAGAAAATATGTCGGATACAATGGATGCAGTATTAATGGTAAATTTGTTCGAACAAATGAAATTATTATTTTTTTGTCCATTTATAATAAAACAAAATACCATAGTGTTGTACAACTGCAATAGAATACGTAGCGATTTAATTTACAGCATCTTCACAAATTCATAAATAAAAAACATAAATCGCCATCTTGCTCCAGTCAAGGTTATTTGAACGCATCAGATGGCATAATTACAACTTCCCAACTTGTAAATATGAACTTCCCTGTAGGACTTAACAATAAAATAAGAAAAAAAAGCAAGAAAAAGCAGTGAAAAATAAAGCATTATATGTTAAAGGAAATTATTTATTTATTTATATATATAT